CAGGCCTGCCGAGGAGATTTTGTTAATTAATAATGTGTACAACGTTATTTTATGAAGTCAGTCAGTGATTAACTGATGTCCATCTCTTCTTTTGCTTTAGTGAAACTTTCATGGATAATTATGAGCAGGACCTGGTGAGAATGACCGAGTCTCAGTGTAGTTTAATTTTCACACCATTAGATGGCAACAAAGTCTTAAAGTTAGAAAAGATGCACTTCACAGAAAATGCAGACATTTGTCCAGTTGTTTCTTTTTATTTGTTTTGGTCAAACACACAACCGACCCACACTGACTTCCACGTGGTGCTTCATCTGTCCCAGTTTGACCTCAGTTGTTTGAACACGGGCTGAAGGCAGAGCAACGTGACCGACGGACTAAAGACCAGAAGAAAAGCTCTCTGCACCACAACTGTGTGTGTGTAAGTTTGTGTGTGAGCAGTGTGTATATGGGAGCAGGCATTTGATCAACCTCTTCGATTAGATGTCCACTTAACGAGTCAGATCGCACCACAGCCCGCTTCGAAGCTGGGGGAGGCTCCAGGGTGCCTTGGCCCTCTCCGTAAAGGTCACTCTACAGAGGTTAAAGGTGATCTCACACACACACACACTTTCACAGACAGACACACTTCTATCCACCCAGTCAAATTCTCCAGCACCTTCCATCATTCTCATTCTCTCTCCCTCCATCTTCTTTTTGTCTCATTTGGGATTGATTGTCTCCACCATCACAAAGACACTTGGTTCTGATTGACTGATTGTTAAAGGAAGAGAGAGAGAAAATAAATCATCCACGCTGCAGCTTTTAGAGAGTTGAAGGGCAAAGCGAACAGCACTTTTCGGATCCGATGAAAAATGTTGCCGCTTCCTTTTTCTGTTTGCATTTCAGACACACTCAGACTGATCAAATTTAGATTAAATACAAGAAAGAAATGCACAAACCCACTCACGCCTGCACAACAAAACAAAGGAATACAGATACAGAAATGTGGGGACGGTTACACACACTGCGAAGGACAGACATGACATGTGAATACTCGTATTTTATACAAATACACAAACAGCACATATAAAAACACAGAACTGACAAAGAATGCAAAGAGTTCCAGATGCAGCTTCTCTCCCTCTCCTCCACCTGTGGAGGTATTTCATCCTGTGGTTTATTTACACTTTCAATCAATCCATGCAAATTAATTAATAAATAATAATAAAAATCATCCCGCCCTTAACGACAGAGGGGTTTTGGGTTGATTCTGCTTTTTAATATGGCAATCACTTTGAACACAGTCAACTTGAAAGCACAAAACAATCCAAAAAATGTGATGCAAAACAGAAGTTATTGTGTACGTGATGTGTTATTTGTAATCTTCGCTGTCACGACTCTTCGTCGTCTCATTTCATCCTTCCTTTTGTTCACGATGGCAAGAATTTGTTGCTTCCAATCCACGAATGAACTCCCTGTTGAGACTTTTTTATAATTTTAAAAAAAGCAACACAATGCAAATCCACAAACCATAAATAAAGAAATAAAGCAAGTCAAGCTTACATTTGACACTCTTCCTCAGAGAAAGATTTTTACAAAAACAGAAAGAACAATCTTTACCTGCGACCTTATTGTCACTTTCATTGCTCACCGTGTTTGTTTCGCTACATGAACCGTCACATTAAAGATTTGAGGTATATCAAGATGAATTGTCTACACGTGCCTGCATCGTTGTAAATCTAGCCTGGACGCAGGGACCAGTGAAGAGGATTGGGATGGGCGAGGGGTCATCAGTGGGGCATCGTGTAAAAACCGTGTCCTCTCTGGTGATTTTTGTCTTTGGTTGGTTTTCACTTTGGTTGAGTTTATTTTAATTTAAGCATACATGAGCAAAACTTGATAAAATAAGTTATTTAAATAGTCAAACACAAACACACACACACACTTGAACTATAAATTACACAAAAATATCTGTGTGTGTGTGTGTGGGTGTGTGTGTATATACATAAGGATCTGGCCTCTACAAACTTATTTTAAAAAATAAAAAGCTAAATTGTTGTGATAAACAGTGTTCTCCCTTAACTGCATGAAAAAAGTGCTGTTTGGATCACAACAAGAGCGGATGTTTGATACCAAGAGGACCCCTCCGTCGTGTGCAACCCCTCCTCTCTTCACGTTAATCTTTGAATGATTTTCTCTGATCAGAGCAGTCCAGCCCCTGGTTGAAGGAAAAAGGCACTCAGCTCTTCCCACATGACAAATAAACCTTTGTGCATGCTCTGTAAAATACGCACCCCTGCGCACATCTTCTGCTCTGTGGTTTGTGTGTGTGTGTTGCATGTTTCGGGTCCAGTAGTGAATGCAGCAGGCTTAATGCATCTTTGGTACTGACGGGTTTGCCGCAGTTATTTCCGCGAGGTGCAGAAATGTTTTTTTTGCCACAATTTGGGTGTGAAAGCCTGCAGCACTTCTCTCCTCTGGACACCACAATAAATCAGAAATTACACCTTGGATAAGAAATCTGTGCAGAACGTGACAACAACGGGTCAGTTTGTGGAGGAACGCCACTTCAGTATCTCCTTTGGGCCTCCTGATGGGGCTGTGATGCTGCTGCCTCCCTGCCTCGTCCTCCTCTCTGCAACTCCTCTTTGTTATGATTATCTCCCGCTTGAAGATGCTACACAACAAGTGGCTTTGCCCACAAAAAAAGGTAAAAAGACACTTTAAAATGAGGAGGGTTCTCCTGGTAAGCAAAGAACACAACCAGCAGAGGAATGCAGCTGTGGTCCAGTTTAAAGAGGATTAATGATCCTTCTTGCCCAGACGTGTTCCACCCACAGGTCTTCACAAATCTGCACAGTTTGTCACTAAAACTCCTCCTGGTCTGTGCATAGGATCAGTCCATGACAGGTTGATTTGTCTTTTTTTTTTCAATTCTAACCTAAAGTTTTTACATTTTGTCAAAAAAAGTGCTTCTTTACATATAGTTTCAGCACAACATAGCACAATAGTCACAAGAGACAAGCCATGTGTCTATGGTACTATTATTACCCGCATCAGTGAAGGAGGAAACAAAAAATAACAGAAAGACACATCGTGGGGGGGGAGTAGATAAATAGAGAATAGATAAGACAGAGCGATAAGGATGAAAATAAAAATTATTTACAATAACTGAATGTCATGTTGATCACGTTAATGTTTTTCTGAGGTATGAAACAGGCGACGGGCCCGTAGTAGTGCTCGCAAATTGAAGGTTGAGATGAAACAAAGCAGACACGGCGAGGCGGAGGGTGACGGAGCAGCCTGCGTCTGTTCTCTGATTATCATGAAGAGGCAAACATCACTGGCACTCAGGATCCTATATATTGTGACATTTGACCTCTGTGTTTGGCCACTAGAACAGAGCAGGCCCCCTCCACCCATCCCTCACTCCCTACACCTGGAAACAACACTATTTTTTAAAGAGTGTGGCGTGTCGTCCTTGTTTGATTGTTCTCCTTTTATAACCTGAATATACCCTCTCGTGTGGCTGTGCGGCCTACGGCTGCAGAGCCGTACAACGAGTGTCAAGAAACACACATTCAAATCGAAAGCTGATTGGTGTGGACGACAATTTTGCTCAAATAGGAAAGGTTGATCCTAAAGCTTTTTGTTCTGCAAGGTGTGAGGGGTTTCTGTGGTGATGTGAGCTGACTAGAAGCTTGCATGTGGTCTAAATGGGCAGCAGGTGGCACTGTAACTCTGATGTGGAGCAGACTGAAGACCAGCAGAGGGGATGGATACCTCTGTGGCACAGAATACCATGAGGATATTAAACATGCATGCACTGCTGCAGGTGGTATTGGTTAGCAGGTCAAAGCGAGTTTTCATGTCCATTTCACAGAGATTGGACATAAACTATCAGAGCTTCTAGCATCAGCGTGTGCAGCCGAAAAGAAAATATCTCTACCCTGGATAAAGTGGCTTAGCTCCAAATTGTGGGTGCTTACAATCTTACCCACTGCAGGTCACCACAAACTGGTTTTATGGCTGAATTCACTGATTCTCATCCTGATCTCAAATCCTAATTTTGCACAAATAAAACACAGTCACACCAACTACCAAATAACGGATTACAGACTATAAAGCTATAGTCATTTTGAAGCAGGGATCAGTGTAAAAGGTTATAAACGATTAATATCTTATCTGCTCTAAATAGCTATTTGAATGACATCAGTTTGGATGAAACAAAATACCTTGGGACCCAAATTAACGAGCTAATGGTTAGTCTGAGTGGGGCCGAGGCCAAAGTGGATTGCTGCCGTTTTTAACATCAGTCTCTAAAAATCTTTACACCACCATCATTTTCATGGTTACTTACATTGATATTGGTATTTTGTGAGCACAAATGGCAGCAGCTAACTGTAGCCGTGTACTGCAGGAACATCATACTATTTCTGCCAAATTAACAAGAGAAAACAACGATGATGTAAAAGTTTAAAGACAGCAATCCACTTTGTATTGCCCCTCCTCAGACTAGCCACTTGATCTTCAGTCTGGTCAGAACTACACTAATCTGTATTATTCCAAACTGATGTAGCTTATAAAACTCTAATAACTGTGCATCTGTGGGAAAAGATTTGAACTATCCCTTTAACTGTGCAGATCCATTTGGCATCCTGCTGCCTCATTTCTGTCTGATGAGGGGAACAAAGGTCTCTTAATCTGAAGCTGCATTCTCCTTCTCAAGGCTCCACTGCAGTGAAAACGGGTTCTCTTTGGTTTTTCAGGTGGGTTTACACGGAGGTGGTTGTTTGTTTGAGGGAAAAGTCTCATAAAGCTGCTAAATCTTTGGTTTCAGGAAGCAGTCCATTCAAAAATGACACGAGCATCTGATGTGCAGCACGTGGAACAGATGGATGAGAGTGCTCTGAACATACAGATACACACAGCAGCTGTGCAGATTGTTTTTAGTACAAATAAATTAAAAAAAAGTCAAACCCCATCCTCCACCCTGCACGCGTCCGTCCAACCTGCAGCAGTCAGGCCTTGGAGAAAGTGTTGGCGGAGGATGCGCCGGGTTGGATGGGGGACTGCGGGGTGTGGACGTGGCCCCCGTGCGCCCCGTGGCTGTGCTCCTCCGTGTCCCAGCGCTCCGGGCAGCGGCGGCGGGAGTTCATGAAGAAGTTGGAGACGGTGGAGAGCTCCAGGCCCAGCTGCTGAGAGATGGTGAGCTGCATCTCCTTGGAGGGGCGGCGGTTCTCTCTGAAGATGGCGACCAGGGTGCGACGCTGCAGGTCGGTGAAGACCAGCCGCTGCTTCTTTGGCACCTGACTGCGCTCCCGTCCCCGGTCCTCCTCCTTCCGCTTACAGGCTGGAGGGGGGAGGAGGACAGGCAAGATCAGTTTTACCATTAAAACACATCCGACTGTATTACACTGAAGACAAAAGGCTGAGTTTGTGTTTAAAAGATGAATTGATGTGAAAAGCTTAAACCATCAACAGCTTTTTGTGTTTATGTTTTGACATAATGAAGTTAAAGTCATTTATTGTTTGTGTCTGAAAATTGGAAGAAAAAAATTAAAGGGGAAAACAAGAAAGTGGTATTGTTTCAAACTGGGAATAAAGAGTTTTACTTCAACTTCTGAGAGTTAAATTTGATGTTTGTCTCGAAACTAAATCCCACGTGAACTAATAGCTGCACTTTCTACTGAATGAATGAAAAGTTTCAAACATCATGGCGTTTTCTCGGTGTTGTTTTATTTTAATTTACAAAGACTTAAATTCACGAGTTTAGAAACAAGATTTATCATTTTCCTTATCGATTTCAAGGTGAAATGTTTTCAAAAAGGGTTTTGATTTGAGAGTGCTTAATTCATTCTATTATATAAGAACTATCGACATTTTTCTCTCATCAAGCACGTGAAGGCATCATGAGCTCTCCTCAAACGCAACACGAGTAAAAACGCCAACAGACTCGTTTTTAGTTTTAAAGTTCTCGCTGAAAGCAGGTTTTCAACTAAATATTTTAAATCTAAAAAGTTAATAAAGTTGCTGCACAACTTTATTTAAGTGGTCGAAAGTCATTTATGCGACAAAAAAAAATTAAGCAACCACCCTCATCCCAAAAAAATAAAACTAAAAAGAGAGAAAGGAGGTTGTGGATTTGTGCAGTGTTTTGTTGGTGGGTCTGTGCGCGGCTGGCTGAAACCGGAGGAGCGTGCGTGTGAACTGCTGACAAAGAGTCGGTCTGGCTGGATGCACCGTCAGGAGCAGAGGCTCTGGCTGTGGAGACTGGAGGGAGTCTGTTCTGTTCTGCTGCCCTAAAAAGCTGCAATGATCGATTTTCCGCGGTTTTCTCCTGAACACGTGGTCCAGTAATCAGGGCTCCCTTCCCCACCCGATCGATCCTTATCGATCCGCGAGAGCGAGGTGCGTGTGTATAGTGAGTGTGTGTGAGTGAATGTGTGTGTGTGTGGGGGGGGGGGGGGGGCGCTGGGGGAGTAGTATGAGCTCGTGAACGCGCCTTGTGACAGACAGGAGAGAAGAAATTGTTTATCTGTGGAAGAACAAAGGAGGTGAGAGAGGAGAGGAGGTGTGTGGGGGGGAGCCATCCAGTCTGGGAGCTCTGAGGAAGATGAGGACTCCCAAATGAGTCGGATTAATAACAAATAAATAAATAAAAAGATGCGCGTGCACGAGCAAAAAGTGCTTGAAAACATACAGAAAGAAGTGATTGTGAGGACAGGAGGGATCAGTGTGGAGGTGGTGCATGCAAATGATTGATGACTTTACAGCAGCCTTAGACAACAGCAGTAAACAGATTTGACTGTGAGACTGAGATCAATATGAATGTGCACATGAGCATGCATGAGCGCGCGCGCGCGCGTGTGCGCCATTGTTCATGCTTTGTGACTGCAAGCAAAGCATAATTACAGAGAAATTTCTCCTCAGCAGGGTGCACGTTGGTCTCTACTCGAGCCTCTGCTACATCTCTCCATCCCTTTCACTGTTTTCCTCTTGTTGTTTTCCCCTCAATTGTTTTAATTTGCCCCCAGATTGATAGCCCCCCATATTGATTGATCCTCACTTCAGAACCATTTCATGGAACGTTTATTCAATTGGTTGGGGCCCAGCCATGCCCCACAATCTCCTCCAGGCCTCTCTATAAGTGCTGTCTCCAACCAAGCTCAATACTCTCTAATGTAATGACTGAATGTTGGTGCTAATATAGTGATAATTTAATATGTAATGCCTGTTTCCCAACTATTTGTGCTACAGGCCATTTTACAATGCCAACACCGTTCTGGGTCTCCTCCATCAGCCCAAAGGAGGACGAGCAACTCATAAAGGGGAACTAAGGAGTTAGCACAAGTCTAAGGCCCAGTCAATGAGACTCCTTCGGCTTCTTGTAAAGCACCATAAAGAGGGGAGGTACTCATTAAAAGGAGCTCTCTTGAGACAAGAACCAAACCTCCATCTTTAGCCTTGTTACCAAATGAGCCATTCTGAAGAGACAAGCAGCGGTCTCAAGTGGCTCTCGCTCATGTTGACTCCTTCAGCGTGTCAACAGTGTCAAAGGTACCAGGCGACATTCACTTAAGGCTCGTCTCAAGCTTGTGCTGATTTGCTGCCTGCTCAGCTTGTTAACAGTTATTATGCTGCAGCTTGGGTGCTGGTTCTGTTTTTTCTACCTGTCTTTATAAAGACAGAACAGGTGACCCTTTCATCTGAGTGACGCTTAAATCTACAACTAACACATTGTTCTAAAATACAAAACGCTTTTATTTAGGCAAAAAGTAGACATTTTTAAATAAATACATGTATTGTCTTCAGTAGGTTCCGTCTAAATGCTGGGTATAATGAATCTCACTTCTTTGTGGGGTTGAGGCATCCCTCATGTTGAATATTAATCAGTAATGCTCTCTAAATGCGTTCACGTCCAAAAATCAGAATGTGCATGCGTATACACTACCATCTATGATTTGTTTTTAAAACCTCAAACATTAAACAATAGGAAACATTTATGTATTTTTGTTGTTGTTGCAAATAGTTCAGCGAGAATATTCACGTAAAGTTATACTTGTTATAGAAAAAGCTGTTTTCTAACGTGCAGATGTGTTAGACTGGTTCACTCCTGTGTTAGTTTAGACTGAACAGCTTTCTTTCAATCAAAAGGTGTTGAATTCTGCTCTTTGTGTCAATCAAAGGAAATAAATAATATTAATAGCGGATGTGTTTATTTCAGTTTCTCTCCAACAAAAGTCCTTCGTGAAAGCTGTTACAGGTCGAGCTGGAGGGCAGATTAATTATATAGGGTTAAGATTACTGATCAAATTAGTTGATGATCAGGTTTTAGATGAAAAATACAAGTGAACATTTGTCCTCTGATTTAAAAAAAAAAGCATGCATCAGTTTCTAAACATTACTTCTGTATTTGGTTTACTTGCATCACTTTAAGACAAAAACAGTGTGCGTGCGTGCGTGTGTGTGCCGTGTGTTGCAGACGGTGAACTAACCGCACCGTGCTGCTGCTACTCGCCGCCTGGACGGACGGATGAGCTCGGGCTCTGTGCGCGGTGAGACGGGCCCTCTCCCGCCCTGGACGGACTACTGCGGGTGAGAAACAGTTTGGTGTCAGTCACTCTCTGCCACACCCACCCCTCAGATAAATAACGATTATTGATTGTATTGATCATGTCATGTGAGCCTGGATATTCATCGCCCGCTACAACACACAGCATGAGCCGAGGAGGAAAACACGCCATTTATTTGTTGTTTCATTTATTTTTAAAGTTTTCAGTTGTTTCTTAAAAAAAAAAACAGGTATAGCTTTAGGTGTGCGCTATATTAACCTTTCTTTTTGTTTGTTTGTTTTTTAGTTTAGCTATTTTTCTGACCCATTTTAAACGGGAAAATTCAAACGCTTAAAATAAATAAATCAAAGGAAGTTGTCTGTCGTATTTTGAAACTCGGAGAAGGAGAACTAACATTTTTGTTTAAAGGCAAACCTTATGTTTGAGTTATAAGATAAATTGGGAAATGTAAACTAAAGTTTTTAGGTTTGTGACAGCTGGTTTTATTATGACCTCAAACAACGCACCTATTTTATTTAACCTTGTTTTATATTGCTCCACCTTTTCATTTAAATTCAAAAAGCAACACAAATGAGTCTAAATGTCTGAAATAGATCATCTAAAAGTTAATTGTCATTCCCAAAAGCATAAAGCTAAAAAAAAAAAAGCTTAAAAATGACGATTTTTGAACAAACCTGTCCATGTTCACGTTGCATATGAGTTATTTTTTATTGTTTATTAATAAAACGAGACTGACGGGGGGGATCTGTGTGTTGAGTTTTACGTCTTCAGACAACAAGTTTCACTCTGTAAAGTCGCCCATGTGAGCAGAAAAAAGATAAAAGGTTTGTGTGAGATAATTGTCCTTTCAGCAGCAGGAGGCCACATTCCAGCTGACATGAGCCACACGAGGCCTGCGAAAAGGCCAAAAGTATGAAAGAAGCAGCTAAATTTAGGAAGTGGTCAGGTTTTAATTTTTGCTTGCATGTTTTTGTAATAGTTTTATTTTTTATAATAAGACACTTATAGATTTTTGTTCTTAAAAGCTGTAAATTTGAAGGAGTGTATGTCCATTAGATTATTCACCAAAATTATATTCATAATGCATCCTATGCTTCAGTCGGATATGTGAATACACTTTAAATGAAAGCACAGAACTTTATTTGGACTACACTGTCAAAACTAATTGATTCCCTACACATTCACTACTCTCCCATATCCTCATTACCAATTATACCTTTTTTATCCAGATGTGGATGTGTGAAATGTTTAATACAAAGAGAAATAAGCACAGAGAAGAAATGAATAAGGCTGGAAGGCAAGAGATGTGTCTTACTGGTACAGAGCCAGAGGAAGGGGGGAAAAAAGAAGGGGGAGGCAAGGAGGGAAGGATGGAAGGAGAGAATATGAGAGAGCCGAAGAGAGCAGAGAGGAAATCAATACCGATTCAGAGTGAGTCAGATAAGCCTGAACAATGTATAGTGCAGACACACTCTATAACCCAGTCACACACGCATGTGCATGTGGAGGCAGTCTCTCCCCTACACACATACACATGCACACTCAGTGAAATGTGCTTCAGGCCTCCATAAAGATGCATTACAAACCCCATAAAGCATACCAACCTTTAAAATCAAATGACATCACAACCTTGGATTTCTTAGAGGATTCGCTGACATGAGCAGAAAGCGCTCATTACAAGGTGTCGATAGGCAGCTAGATGCTCTGATGCCCTTTGTCTACTGGAAGATTCTCTTAGGTTCTCATCTTCTTGTGTTTTTCGGGTAAAAACATAAGCCGTCTTGCTTTGATTTCACTCCACTGCTGTTGTGCATCATCAAACCGTGCTTCTTTCATGGCCTCATAAATATTTTCTGATGTGGGTTTTCAGCAGAGGAAGTCTACACCATGTCAAGTCTGCACTATTGATATTTCACAGTGTGTTTAGGGGGGTGTAAACAGTGTTTTTGAAAACCACTTACACACCCGTGGTGTTTGGGGAGGAATGCTGCATGGTGTGTGGTCCTCAGCTGTTAACCACAGATCTGACGTTGCTTACCTAGAAGATGCTGTTACAAGCACTCACACCACCACCACCACTCTCTGCCTCTTCTCTTTCTTCCCCTCTTGCTTTCGTCTCCCTTATACTTATCAATTATTAAGGTCGGTATTGATCCTTTCACTACGCTACCTCTATCTGACTGTTCACACAAAGCCCAGACCTGCCAGCCCTCTCTCAATCAATGGCATCTCCTGGCTCCTGCAGCTTTCTTTTTCCACATGTCAGTTTTGCTTTTCTCACTTTTGCACTTAAGACAGGTTGACTGAAATTTTGTTATGTTCCCCTCTGGGGCATTTCTATTCCTTTGAAAATACTGATATCAGTCTGCTGTTGCACAATGTGATGGGTATTCAAACAGCAGCCAGATAAGAAAGGACCGAGAGGACTGAAAATGTCATTTTGACTACGTGAAACAGCCTATTTGTTTTTGTCCTCCAGCCTGTGTTTGTTGCTTTGTTTTGTTCTGTGGCACCAATCTCCGGCAGCCAAACAAACCCGCCTGCCTGTTGCCAGGTTAACCAGGGAAAGATTAGTGATATTATTGTCATGTGCTGCAGAGAAGCAGCGCACTGGGTAGTGGAAGAGAAGGGGGTTGGGATGGGGAAAGGGTCTTATTGATCTTGTATGTGCAAAGCCAGGCAAACACTGAAAGGACAGAGCAACACTATTAATGACACTCAAAGCCTCCTCTGCTAATCCTCATCTATCTATCTATCTATCTATCTATCTATCTATCTATCTATCTATC